ATTAATTAAAAAAAAAATCATATGAAATTGAAAAAAGTCATTACAAACAGTACGCGCCGTAATCAAAAACCCACAAGCTATTAAACCGCATGTCTACGCGCTGCTTTGACTACGCACAGCAGACACCAGTCAGTCACTCATCCAGCTATTCATCCATCCATCCATCCATTGAGCCATTGTACCAACCATCCATCCATTAGTTTCGCGCTCAGCTATTTCCTAGCCATCAATCTATCAACGACAGTTATTCAATAGCGGATAGCATCGCAACGCATCACTCGTCACAGCGTTTTAGCGCAGGCATAAAGGCAAGCAGTAGCAGCAGGAGTCGCATTTGCATGTGAGTGCGTGTGTTTGTGTGTGTAATTGCTTTTTATGCCTCCAACATATTTAATCTTCATTGCTTTTTGTTTCGCGTTTTATTATATAAAAATCAGACCCCTCTTGCTACGCCAAATTTGAATCAATTGTGATGCTGGCACTTGCATAAGTAAATATATGAAATTGTATATGTGTGTGTGTTTGAATGAATGTTAATTTCTTGACGCTCATCAGCAATTGTATTTTATTTGTGCGTGTCACTCAGCAGAAAATCCAATGTCTCTTTTATCAAGTTATAAAAGCGGAAGTAACACTTCTTTGTAATAACTTTTGGCATATCCGAGAAAACTATTCATAAAGTCGTTGATATGTAAAGAGAAAATAATTGCATTAATGCAGTCTCTATTACAATTATCACGTGTGAGCAATTTAAGAGGTCATTGTCACCGGTACATAAATAAACTAGAAAAATATTATCAATTATGTTGAAAATTGTGAAACATATTCACTATAGTAGCTAAAAAATTGTCACATCCGATAAAACGACTTTCATTTCATTCAGGAGATCTCACAGAATCGGACACTAACAATCAGGAAAGCGTTTCTTTTTATATTTTCTGATTACCTTAGTATTGATTAAGAAGTCAAAAACCTGATAAGAACCTGTGAGGATAACATTTCTTTTCAAGAGAGGCTTTTATAATAATAAAAAAAAAAATAACTCATCAATCTCTCGTCGTATACCTTTGGTAGTCTGTGCTCTAAGCCACATGGTAAACCCTACCGGTTACATCGGCTTACTCGAACCGCTTAGTATTTGATCAAAAAGTAATCTGTAAAGATAAAAAATTGTTCAAATCGGGCACCACAGCATATATATATGTATTTACTAATTTTGGAGAAGTTGTAAGACCAGTCTTCAATTGTAAGGACAAAATTTTGTGGTATTTGCATCAAAGAAATTATTTAGACACTTGTTGTTATCTTATATCAATTATAAACATAGTATATATATATTATATTTGTATACAGCTGATTCTTTTTCATAGTTTTAAACCCTTTCCAATAATGGCAATGCTCTTTACTGAAAAGGACCTCACTTATGCTTACCTCCTATTAGCCATCTCAATATTAGCCTTTGTTTACTTACGTATAATTTTAACCTAAACATAGTGCAGGCTACTTGATATTAAAAGGACGAAGTTGCCATAAAACTGTAATCACAAACAATGTATGCCAATCAAGTGTCCGCATCAATGTTGGCCTGTCCCTATCAGCTTTGTCAGCAGTTGACTTTAGAATGCAATGTAAGCAAAAATAAACCGAACTTACACATATACCACATTTATAAATAGAGTCAGTTATTTATAGTGGAGTTAAGTACAGGGTGATTCGAAAATGTTCAAATCGAACTTTAGTTTTAAATGAGGTTTATTTCCAGTAGATGTTTTCATTTAAATAGAATTAACGGCTCAGTTAAAAATCATCGGCCTACCATAGAAAACAAAATTGTTTTTTTATATTCGACATAGTTCTCTTCAAGGGTGATGAACAGAGTGTAACGACCATTTTCGATTCCATTTTTGATGTACTATTTGTCCTTTACTTTGAGATCTGAGAACAGAACGTATTCACGGGAGACAAGAAATGGAGAATACGCTGGATGCGGAGGACTTGTGAAACGGTGCATTGTCTTGGTGAAACAGTCGTTTCTTTTTCTTCAAATGCCGCAGTATTCCGGTGACTTCGTCGTTCAAGTGATCCAATAACGCTATGTAATAGTCGCTGTTCATCGTTTATAGTGTGCAGTCGGCTTGGATGACTACCGATTGGACTTCGGCGTAAAGTGATGAAGCCATGTTTCATCCATTGTTACATCTCGACACAATAAATCGGGTTCATTACACTTGAACCTCTCCAAACACTGCTCGGCATTATGAACTCAATGATGTTTTTGGTCAAAACGTTATCTCGGTCTGCTCCCAATTTGTTCAGAGCTTTCTCATACCCAAATATTCATGAGTAATATGATGTACACGTTCAGTTTTTATCGATAGACTGCCTGATATCTTGAACAACTTCACTTAACGGTCATCAAAAATTATTTTGTGGACTTCTTTGATACTTTTGCGGTAACAACTTCTGGCGCTGAGATCATAAGCTTTAATTTCATGCATCAAATCATGTAGCACCGGCCCACAACCCACACCAAACTGTTCGTTTTTCTGAATAAAATGGCAGCTCTTGAATCTCTTCAGATTATTATTCGTACAAAAGGCGTAAGTTTTGCTTGTCTGCATACCCGTTGATCCAGAAATGGTCTTTAACGCTGAACGAAATTTGGCTCGAAACCGTATAATCTTCTTGGAACTTTTCAAGAGCCCAAAGAGCGAAGCGATGTCGTTTCGGAAGGTCGAGTGGCTTCAGTTCTTGCACCAGCTATATTTTGTAAGCTTTCAATTTAAGATCTCGACGTAAAATGCGCAAAGTCGTTCCATTGTCAGTCCAAGTTGCTGCGAATGGCCCCGAAACGACTCTCCACGATCTTTGTGTACGCTCTCAGCTACGTCCGCTATATTTCTTCCACTAGGCTGGTTCTCAAACCGGGTGATGATGTTGTGAATAGTAAACTTAGCATGCTGATTATGTTGATCATAAGTTGAGCGAAGCACGTGAAACACACTTTTTACCGAACGTGATTGTCATAACGTCGGACGATTTGTAAATGTTGGTCAGGCGTAAGTCTTTCAATGATAAAATGCCTAACAATACTGAACAAAAATAACATGACAGCTTGACAAGACTCAGGCGTGATCTGTCAAACAAGGCTATTGAAAAAATTTCCTCTAATTGGATCACCCTTTAAAGTATTTTTCATTCAAATCCTGTCGGACTTACTGAAATGTCCTCGACCATGTACGCTCATGAAATAAGCTAATTTGAAGCATTATTTGCAAATTAAAACAAATGAAAACTTTTGAGTAAATATGTAGAATTATTTACACATGAAGACTTAACGTGGATGGAGGGTATTTAGTATATACACAAATTTCGTAATTATTTATATTGACCACGATTTGCATATTCATGTGGACACACTTATAAATTAATATATGTTTTCGTTTTAAATGTAAATTTATTTATCATGGTTAAACAAAACATATTGACAATGTGTTGCATGTGTCGCTCCAAATATTTGTACTATTAGCCATACAAATATGGTAGACATACTTACAAGTGCATGAGTGTGTGCAATTTTGTGGTTTTAAGCGGAAAGTTTGTTTTACCGAGCTTCTATTTTTCATATAAATGTCGCTGGACATTGGAGATTAAATAAAGATGTCATACTAAATAATATTCTATGCAATATGTGTAAATAATGAACTTTACATGTCGAGGAAAAAAATCGGCTTAGGTGGTTAGCCCCATGAGACACCGAATGAAATTTAGTCACAGCTTTAACTCGAATAATGTCATACGTATGAGAGCTAATTATGATTTAGTATATGTACATATGTGGATTGTATAGAATGGCTGAACCAAGAATTATGGAAAGGCATCAACAATATACATATCTTTTGCGAGAGGCAAACGCTGAGGAGTAGTTGTACCCGAATATTTTATGTTGCTGTAGAAACTATGAGGAGAAATATTACGTCAATTTTGTATAACTGAATCGAATATAAGTTTTTATCCACGTAAAAAGGGTCCTTAAAACCACTTAAAAGGCCATTATAACTTCATTAATAACTCAAAGTTAATAAACTATAGCTAAATTGGCAATAAGACTGAGCAAGGGAGATCCCTAAGTAAACACCACGATTTCATTCCTCCTTAGAGCAGAATGATCGACAGTTCCAACGACGAAATCTATATACTCACAAGAAGTTAAATTGGAACAAGTTTATGTTTCTTCTTTAGCAATCCGCTAAATGAGTACAATATGTCTTTCAGCCTGAAATGATTGGCGTAACTGAAGATGCCAAGAGAGCTTCTGCTCTAACCAGCAAGTCCATAAACCTTCTAGCATCCATTAGAGCAGCCATTGACTAGACTCTGAGTAGGTAACTCGGTTTATGTTATACCCAATCCTATAGGAACAGAGGGGAGCAAAAGGCAGACAATTTGGTTCACTCAAGGTAGCCAGAAACACAGTTCCTTTAGGATGCAACCAGCTCACTCAGATCCTTTAAGGGTTTTTTGAAGCAATTGAACTTAGAGGAACACATAGAAGCATGAGCAACATAACAACATAAGGCATAACACTAAATTACTTTAGCATAGTGTTGATGGCGGGCTGACCAAAATGCTTCTACTTCTAGGCAAAATGGAACCTAGTAATATTGTAGGTGTCATAATAGGCCAACTAACCAATATCTAGCATTCAAGAAATTGGAAAAGAGAACTCGCCGAAAGCAGAGCATTCGCGAAGGATTATGAAACACTGGAACATTATCTTTACGAATACTTTACATTTCGCCGCTGAGACGGGATATCTTCCACAGCTTAACATCAAAATTTCCAAGAATTTTTTAAGGAAAGAACTAAACGAGATACCCCGTCTCGGTGTAACTAAATGCAATAAATATAAAGTGTCACTTTTACTTATTTGAACCATACAAAATTAATTGTAATTCATGGCCAACTAATGGTCAACGGTTTGACATAGGTTAGACAAAACTACCCCGCGCTTAAACATTTATATAAATCATTCATATATGAAACGATGTTATTTTGTATATAGTACAAAATGTGGACTAAAGTATTAAGCATTCTCATAGTTGCTTTGACAAGTACGACCATAATGGCTATTGTTAGTACAGTTCATCGTCCTTTCACACAAAATATCCATTGGTAAAAGTCAAGTCAAATAGTATCGTTTATCATTCATATTCTTAGATTGTTACTATGTCAATGTTGATTGAGGGTATTTTTAGACCCATATACATATATATGTATTTATTATTGTATTTTTGTACCACTTCAAGAGTTTCGACGTAGATACAAGATTATAAATAT